TCCTTCCTTCCTTCCTTCCTTCCTTCCTTCCTTCCTTCCTTCCTTCCCTTCCCTTCCCTTCCCTTCCCTTCCCTTCTCTTCCCTCCCTTCCCTTCCTTCCTCCCTCCCTTCCTTCCTTCCTCCCTCCCTCCCTCCTTCCTTCCTTCCTTCCTTCATTTCCTTCCTTCCTTCCTTTAGCAACCTCAGAAGGATAGAAGGCTGAGTCATCTTCGAGCTGGTCAAGATTGAACTCCTGACAGCGAGCAGAATTAACCTGCAATATTGCTTTCTAACCACTGCGCCCACCACAGCTCTTCAACCAACTAACTAACTTCCAAGGCAGCCACACAACAATGACTCAATGGTTCTCAAGTTATGTCCTGTCCTCCCTGAACATAGCTGGGCAAATCTGTTCTGAAGCTGCCATCGAGAGGCATTTAAGGAGCATAACAAATGGCAGATGGTCTTGAGCAAACAGAGATGGGTGGTTAATTAAGGAGAATTCCATCAAGGCTTAAGGCAACCTCTCCGTGCTCACCAATAGGATTTCTTCATTTCCTACAATCCTAGGGCTAACTGGCTAAATTGGCCACTCTGTGTGTCTGGCAGCAAAGTGGCTACCGCCAATTCTGATGCCGTGACTCCAGGCTGTGACAGCTTATTTGAGTCTTAATGGAGAAGAAGGAGGTAGGACTGCTATGTCTATTCTTGGATTCATCTTCTGAAATACTGCATCTGTCTCCGGACTTGGAAGAAAGGAGCAAACAGAATAACAGAATAGTGTATACTTCCATGTCGAAACTACCAAAGCACTTTCGTGCCAGTGACATCAACGTTGCCCTTGGGATGCCCAGTTGGGGGATTCCTTTCACATCCCCATCAATGAGTCCACCCAAGTGGTAGCTATTTATTTATCTACTCCTGTTTTTAAACAGCTAGTTTGGCAGGAACCGGGGTGAATGGTGGGAGCTCACACAGCAGCACTCGGACCTCAAACACAGACTTGCAAATTGTCAACCCAGCATCCTAACTACGTGAGCCACCCTGGTCCTTCATAGCAGAATATCAGCAGAATAGCACAATAGGAATTTGGAGGTCTTCTAGTCCAACCGTTGAAGTCAACTCATCTTCAAGGTTGAGATGCACCACAAGATGATCTCCTTCTCTTTGGGATATTCAGAAATATCTTTGAACCGATGACTCAGTGGGTCACAAGTTGTCTAGAAAGTGTGCTGGTAAAGTCTTTGAGTCTTCTGGCATCATATTTTACCAAGGTTCCATTGGATAGAAGATAAGAGCAATAGGATTGGAAGGAACCTTGGAGATCTTCTAGCCCAACCCCCTGCTCATGGCAGGAGATCCTATATCCTTCTGGACAAATGTTTCTCCAATCTCTTCTTGAAGAACCTCCAGTGAAGCTCCACAACTTATGAAGGCGAGTCGTTCCACTGGTTAATTATTCTCATGGTCAAGAAATTCCTCCTTATTTCTAGGTTGCTTCTCTCGATTACTTTCCATCCATTGCTGGAAGGAAGATCCCTGAGATTTTGCAGTGGAGCTGGCTGACTGATACAGAATGCAGGGCGTCCGTTGTCCTGTACCTGCCCATCTACATATTTCATTCAGCTGGGGAGACAAGCTTGACCTCAGCCAACCTTCCTTGGCATCAACAATGAGGCTTTCGCCTGGCAAGTGTCAATTAAACTCAAACAACCCCCAAAAGGACTTCCTGCAAAAGGCAGGCCTCATTGTCAATCCCGCCAAGCTGACCACCCAGATGGGGCCCAGAATCGACTGGAATTATTATCGCCTCCCCTGCCCCATCTGGTTAAAAAAAAAAGAAAACTAAAGGAGCAAACCTTGACCAACGAAGTTTGCCTCATCTGCTCCTCTAATTCAATTAATTCCCCCCTAAAACTTCCTCTGGGAACAGCCAGCGGAAACCGGCAAATTTTTCTTTCGACAAAGACATTCGTTTTTTTTCCCTCCCTGCTCCATTTCGCCGTGGCCTCGCTGTCTGCCGCTCATTAGTTGTCTAACAAAGCGAAGCCGGTGGACTCTCATTCCCGCTCGGTAGTAATTCTATCACTGCTCTATAATTTCCACCGCAATCATGATCTCTAACGATGCTGGGAAAAGGGGTGGAAGAGGGCTGGGCTTAGAGGAACAGGGTTGCAACTCACAAGAAGAACATTCTTCTGCTGGGAAAACAACCTCCAGCAAGAGATGTGAGAGTGTGCATGGACGTATCTATCTATACGGATAATCTTCCTCATGACCAGGATTTGGGACCACAGTTTGGGACCGCTAAGCAAGGCAGTGACTTGAGCCTGATTTTACGACCGTTTTTGTTTTTTTTTGCATGGGTATTAGGCAAACCATTGTAGTTGTTAAGAGAGTCATGCAGACTTTATGTGTATCGGCTTTTAACTTATTGCCCAATGGAGCAGGGAAAGAGACAACGGAGAAACGGGCAGGGCTGCTTACACAGACCCGTAACTTTATGAAAAGTACAGCTATAAGCAGTGTGGCTGCAATACGTTGTGTGACCAATAGAGAGAAGCCAAACAGCATGGAATGGTAACTCTCCATTGCCGCCTAGTGGCCGTGTGAAGAATGCTCATGGGTGCTATTACCGTAAGGGTGGGAAGAGGAGGAGGAGGAGCAGGAGGAGGAGGAGAAAGAAGAAGAAAGGAGGAGAGGAAGAGGAGGAGGAGGAGAAGAAGATATTAATTGGGGGGGGGCCTGCAGGCAGCTGGTGGACTGACCACCCCGGTTGTACATCATCCCACATCATCTTTTAATTTATGTACTCCCCCCCCTCACCCACTAGGCACTTAGCAATCCATCAGCACCTGTCACTGGGGAGGGGGCCCCACAACACATGGCAGCATATTGAATTTCACTCTGATCAGCCAAGATCTTCTTTTTGTGTGTATTTAAAAAGAAAACGAAAGGAAAAGATGGGTAAGGAAGGGAGGGGGTGGAATCGTGTTAAGGCAGTTTAACGTGGCAGCAAGCATGAAAAAGAAAGAAAGAAATGATGGCTTAAGATCCCTGTTCCTTTTAGAACTAATTAACCCCCATGGATGGCTTTAGCAAGCTCCATAGATGTTCCAGAGCCAAGACACACATTCTCTCTCTCTCTCTCTCTGCCTTTCTCTTTCTTTCTTTCTCTCTCCTTTCCCATTTCCTCTCTTCTTCTCTCCCTCTCTGCCTCACTTTCTCCCTCTCTTCTTCTCTCCCATTCCCTCCCTCCCCTTCCTTCTCTCTTCCTCTCTGTCTCTCTCTGTGTGTGTGTGTCAAATAAATTAAAATACAGGATTGTGAGCTTCTTGCTTTTAATGGAAGATAGACAGAGGTCTGTAGGATCTAAGGTGTTGTCCAGAGTTATAAATGTGTATAAATGTGATGTTTTATTATTGTTGTAAAGGTTGAGGACATTGGTGGTTCCAAACTTGTACTACTACTACTACTACCACCACTACTACTACTACTACTTCTTCTTCTTCTTCTTCTTCTTCTTCTTCTTCTTCTTCTTCTTCTTCT